GTGAGGGACACGGGGCAGTGGGGACCTGGCAGTGCTGGGTTAAATTATTTTAATGACCTTAAAGCTCTCTTCCAACCCAAACGATTCCATGATTCACTCAGTACCTGCACAAAGAACAGGGAGAGGAGACAAGTGATGCTGCTGACAGAGACCTTCCACAACCACTGACAGTAAAAGGTTTTTCCTCACTACACCTCCTTCCCCCTGGATTTCAGCACTGCAAAGGTGCCCATCAGAAGTGACCTTTTCCCTTCCCTTCCCTTTCCCTTTCTCCCTCTGAACTGCAGCAGTACCAAAGGTCAGGGCTGGGCTGATCACTAGCTGAATGACAGATGCTCTCTATTAACCCTCTCCCTCCTGGTTGCCTAGCAGTTATCACTTCTAGAAGCAGACACTGCCTTCCAAAACCTCTTGTTACCTTCAGAAACTGCAGACACTTAGAAGAGACCCAGTTGAGAAGTAAAACCTTGGAACAGAGCATTGGTGCTGAGCCTGGTCAGAGCAGGAGACAAGGAAGCTGTGTAATAAAAGGGAATTAAAGTGTGAGAAATAATGAGTCACAGGGTTTGTAACACGTGCTGATCAGTTAATCACCCCACGAGAAGTGTCCACCCTGCTCTCCAACTGTTTCCAGGGACTCATTAATAAAATAATATTTAAATTCACAATGAGATGAGGGCAACAAGGAGATAAAGGCAACGAAACCAAACCACCAGCCCAAAAAAAGAGAGAAAAAAGCCCTCCAAGGCATGGAGGAAGGAGCTCATGGGTGGTCCCCCCTCTGCCTTCAGGAGGGACCCTTGTAGAATTGTCCCCACGTGAAGCTGGCCATGTAGAGTGACCCAATGGAGAGCTGCCTGCAGGGGAGTGTCCCCTCCTGCCCACGTATGATCCCTCTGCTTCAGTGGTTGATCAACAGGCTCTGAGCACCTAGAAGGTGTCCCACTAGTGAACTATCCACTGTTAAATGCAGGTCAGAGCTCAGCAGCTTCCTCTCCACCTGCCCCATCCCTCTGCCCACCCTGAAAAACAGCAGCAGGCCTGGAAACTGGCCACAGCACCTCAACATCAGCAGGACCCCAAGGGAAC